CAGCAGGAAGATTTAGTAAATTTCAATTCGACAACGTTAACAGTGACATGATGCCCATGCCATTTATTTGTATGCTATCATAGTTTACTTGTGGTTGTGTTTCTAGAAACACCATTTTTTCTTTTCTTTTCTTTTTTTTTTCTTTTTAATTGAATGGAATTAAAAAAATGAATCCAAAAAAAAGAAAAATCTCATACCATAACATTTCTGTATTGGAGTTATTCAATTTGAAACTAAAATAGAATTTCTACATTTTACATTTTTAGACGCTTGCAGCAAGGCAAACTATAAACTAAAATGCTAATATCAAAATTTGACACATTATTTTGTATTATTTTTTTTTCTTACATTTTATGTTTCTATTTCACTACTGTTTATATCATATAAATATTGTTCCTCTATTTTAAATAATTGTTGGTTTCCCCTTTCTTTTAATTTAATTATTGAGATAATAAACCAATATAAGTGAGTTAGTAGGCTCCACAAAAATCATGTTTAAATGGAAAAAAATTAGGTGAGACTAGCATATTTTATGGTGGTTTAGATCACTTATCCTATCCCGTGAGAGTAGTGGTTAAAACTTAAAAAACTATTTTGCTTTCTACTGGACAAAAATAACAAAGACTAATACATCCATACTAGTAATTTCATCACTCACAATATTACTAAAATGTGGGTTGTTTGGAAAGTTGCTATTTTAGTGTGCTATTTTAGTTTTTGGCTATTTTAGTAGGCTTAAATTTTTATGTTTGGAAAAATTGTTGGATTTTTTTGTAGTTGGATGTGATGTTTGTGAGAGAAAAAGTGAAATGAACATGAGTTTGATATGACATTTTATTTTCTTGGCTATTTTAGCCTATTTTGTCATTTTGTAGATTTTTAACACAAAAAAAAAAAAAAAAACTTTTGCCTATCTTAGGTTTCGACGATATGCAAGAGCTCGCGGGTGAAGGTTAAAAGCAACTCTCATTTGCAGAAAGCATCACAACTCGACTCTACCGTTAATCGCCTCACCTCGGGGTTCATTTTGGGAAGCTTTTGAAGGCCCTACCTCCAGATTTGCAGGGTTTGCAAAGGAGATTACACCCGATTGGCCGTCGAATGAGGAGCTCCAAGGCACTGAAAATTTGGCCACAGTAGTTATTCTTCTCTTTTATTTCTTGTTCTATTTCTTCAGCTGATTAATCTCCCACTAATTATCTTCATACATACGTTGAAAAAGGGAGAGTTGTGCAGGCAACCGTTGCACTTCATTTGTTTGACTCTATAATCGGCGAGACAAATTTGACACCGAATTCGTGGTCTCTATAAACAGATTTAGTGTGTGAGAATTAGTATCAATGTCAGATTTGGCTCCCAATAATTGGTTAAGTGGCACTACTAGGTTAAAAGCATGGGGTAGGGTTCTCTGAGGAGGGTATGAAGAAGTAGTATCACGTACTTTTTCTGGAGTTTCATTAAGGTCAGGAAAGAGGGTAAGAGGGCGAGTAGAGGCCATGTCAAAAAAGAAAAAAAAAATTGAGCTATACTGGACTGATTTTGGCAAATTTTCACTTTGCCATTTCCGTTGCACTAGTCTTCTTAAAGAAAAAGAAGAAGAAGAAGAAGAAGAAGAGAACAACGAGAAAAAGAGGACAAATGGAAGGTGTCACAACCTAAACCCGCCCCTAAGGGTTTAGCATCGTAACCAGCCAGTAATCCGAGATTACCAAAGGCCTGCTTAACAATGATGACAATAATACAATATAAAGGGGTTGACGGAAGCCAATTAGTAATAAAAAGATGTCCAATGAGCTGTGAAAACCTGAATAGGAAAAGACTTTCATGGACAAAACCATATTCATAGCCATATACCAAAAACACATGTACAAAGTAACATACAGGTTAGGGGCCTAATCCCCTCATCATAACTGTACATTCGAGGTCTTAAACATTCTCTACATTAACAGAGACAAAAAGGATGAATCTGAAGCACCCCAGATAGCCTTGACTCGTGTGGGTTCAGAACCTTGATATAAGGCGCGATGGTTGGCCTGACAAAACATGAGTCTAAGTCAGCGCCTCTAGCTCTGGTCTGGTGTTTGGCCACCTACATATATATATATATATAAACAATGAGCTAAAGCCCAGTGAATAACAAATGTGTAAAGAGGTTAAGAATGAATGTCCTTCAGTAATTGAAACAGTCATTTGCATCAGTAAATTAGTTATTCAATCAGTGACTCATATTTCAAGTCATATCAGTCATTTAGGAATCATAGGAGTCATACGTGGTACATCCAATAGTAGAACAGTAGAGTAGGTCTTAATAGACCGAACAGTCAGTTGATGGCCATCAATACAGTAACAGTAGTTCCAAGGATAGGAACTGACAGAGATCTCTGTAACAGTAGCAGTAACAGTAACAGTAATAGTAGCAGTAGCAGTAGTAGTAACAGTCAGTTGCTATGGAGGCCACGAGTACAGTTCGTAAAATAGGACAAACATTCATTCAGTAAACAATATCATTTCGAAAAATAGTACAGTTAATCATTCAGAAAATAATTGTAATTGAACATAACTTTACAACATTGTTACACACAGATTACTGGGCTATAGGCAGGCTAGTCAGCATCCTTGGTCGCCAAACCTACACAATTACAGAACGAACACACACTAAATTACACACCCGGAATTAATAACTCAGCCCCTTGCTCGTTTTGGCGTGGTTCTAAATCATTATCCTCATTATGGTGCCTTAAACATGGCCTAGGAATGCCTAAGATGGGAATGAAGATGCAAAAATATACTTAAAAACATTTTTCAAAACTTGCTGAAAACAGGGGTCTCGCTCGAGCGTGGCTTCCTTCGCTCGAGCGGACATGCAGAATGTTCTTGGTCGCTCGAGCGTAGACTCCTTCGCTTGAGCGATCTGCAAAAATGTGAAAAGTACTGGTTACTGAAAATCTCCGCCCAATGTTCGCTCGATGCTCATTCGAGCGTCAAACACAGTTCTTTGTTCGAGCGCAAGTCTTGTCACTCGAGCGTGCTCTTGCACATGCAAACACCTGAGAGCTTACAATTTACGCTCGAGCCAGAATTCCGTCGCTCGAGCAAAAGCATGAAAACAAAGCTAGTCGCTCGGGCGTGAAATCCTTCGCTCGAGCGAGGAGGCAAAATTCTGGATTTTCCAGATTTGCTCCCAAAGTTTAAACCATGGATTTAATATGCCAAAACTCGTCCTTTTGGGCCAATTTTCTAGAAAATACTTAAAAACTCATAACACAACATGTTTTGAAGATCATCCCATAAGATCAAAGCCCAAGAGTGTGCCAATTGTACACAAAATCAACTTGAAATGGGAGAACATGGTGTAATTAATTATGCCATGCATGTACTTACTTGAATTCATGACTTCCAACACATGATCGCATGAGCTTTTCTCCCCAAAATCATGAAGAATTCTTAGATTACAACTATAATATGAACATGCATGTGTGAATTTCATGAAAACAAATCTCAAAATCCAATGATATGGACATGCATGCATGGATTGATTCTCAATCCTACTCTTTAGGCTATTCCTTGACTTTAGTCTCCAATTTTTCCATGAACCATGCATGAAGCAACTTAAATTTACAATTAAGAAGGTGAATTCCTACCTTATGTCTTGAATTCCAAAGAGTGGTAGCTCAATTTTGCAAGTCTTCTTCCATTCTTCTAAATTTCAAGCAAGACTCTTGTTGAAATTAATTTTCTCCTACTCTCCTCTCCCTCATGATTTGTGCAAGGAAATGGAGGCTAATGGTGTCAAACATGTGTGAAATAGGAACAAAACAATGGCCTTGAGGAGTCCACTCAATGGCAAAAGTGAAATTAACTTAGGCTCAATTAGTTAGCATTATTTATTCCAATTTAATCGTTCCAAATCGAATTTCCATTAAACCTACCATAAAATTCTATAAATCCTAATTAGCATATAACACAAATCAATTTCTGAATCGGTCGCTGATAAGGCTTTCAATTCTTAAACCGAAAACAAAACATGAACAAATTGTTCTATGCCAAACAGATAGAAATGCAATTAAGACAACACACTCACATAATCAATTTGGGATTTGATCTTAATCATTTACTTGTCATGCTTAATCATGAATTAACGCTAATCATAGGTCAGGGTTGTCACAGTCTTCCCCCCTTAAAAAGAGCTTGGTCCTCCAAACTCGAATTACCTTTATTTTGGAAGAATACTGGATTCAGAGGGAACAATTCAGGATATCTTTTCGTCATATCGTCTTCCCTTTCCCAAGTCGCGTAAACGCCACCATGGTTTTGCCAATCCACTTTCACTAACGGGATTTCTTTATTTCTCAACTTCTTGATTCTTCGGTTCACAATCTGAATAGGCCGTTCTTCATAAGTGTAGTCATCAGTCAGTAACACGTGGGTAGGCTCAATAACATGGAAAGGATCCCGAAGATAATCTCGCAACATCGAAATATGAAAAACATTATGCATATGTTCCATTTCAGGAGGGAGTGCTACTTGATATGCCACTAGATTAACCTTTTCAATGATTTCATACGGCCCAATATATCTCGGTACTAGTTTACCCTTAGCTTCAAAGCGAGTCTGTCCTTTCATTGGTGTCACTTTAACAAAAACATGATCACCCACTTCATATTCCCTGTCTCGCCTTCGTACATCCGTGTAGCTTTTCTGTCGACTTTGTGCGGTTTTTAGTCTTTGTTGAATTAATTTCACATTTTCTATTGTTTCATGCACAATCTTAGGCTCAAGTAAAGGCCCATCTCCAACTTCTTCCAACAAATAGGAGACCGACATTTTCTGCCATATAAAGTCTCGAAAGGCGCCATACCAATGCTCGAATGAAAACTGTTGTTGTAGGCTAATTCGGCTAAAG